TATTATTAGTATTTTAACATAATTTATAATAAAAACTTTTGATTCATTAAATTTTTGGCTAATGTTCATAAGATACTGATTAATAAAACTCTTCTTAAACATGACATAGAATTAGTACTAAGCTATCATAAACGAATATGGATGCATAGAATGGGCACATATAATTGATAGCTAGCCTTTTTTTTTTCTTAATTGATTAATGATTATATATATGCATGCATAAGTGGGCGCGGGGGATGGTATACTTTCTTGACTATTAGATAAAGTAGAATCTATTCCATTCCAAATAGAGATATATAGTGAATATTAGCTTATCTACCTTTTCCAATAAAAATGAAAGAATACTCCTCTCCATTTATTCTTCTTCCTTTATTTAACATCTAAATTATAAGTTGCTCCAAAACCGGCTACACCCACGGAAGCACTAATATTAACTTTTTTTTGGTAGAGAAAGCACTAATATTAACTACGAAGACACACTGGTATTCATATATTATACCCCAGCAAACAATAATGATTTCATATCAAAGAAAATTGTGGCTTCATTTGATCTAATACTTTCACTGAAATGGTCTTAAGTTAAATTTTACTAGTAATCTTCAATTGGACATATGTATCTTTGGAATAGGGGTAACCTATGCAAAGTTAACATTTTGCAATGGCGTTTTAAACGGCAAGCAATTAAAGGGAGACGAAAGGGTTGAAAAATTAGTAATGCTTAAAATCTTCATATCATTACTTCTATCTTTTACACATTAAGGAGTTAATAAAACATAAACTAAACAAAATTACACCCTTAATTATGATTGCAGGACATGCATGTAATGGTAAACTTATTGATTAGATTTAAAAGTTGATTAAATTGAAAGTTTTTTGATCAAAATGAAAACAAGATGAAAGGGGTTTTGTGAATATGATTTTTGTATTGTCATGTTTACCCTTGTTGGCTCTCGCCATCCCCTTTACCATACATGCCCAACAAAGAAAAATAAATTGTGCTTGAAAGAGATGGAAGTAAGGCATCTCAGGTAAAGCAACAATCAACGTAAGACAGAGTCAGCCCTCTGCGTATGCTTATTGCTACATAGAATATTGCATGTTGGTTTCAAATAATCCCTTTCCTTGATAACTACATGACTAGCCAAGCAAACAAGTCTATTTTTGCTCTGTATATTATGGCATTAAGCAAATGATTCACACACTTGTCATCTCGTTATTATTCTATTGTTATTGATCATAATATATATTGCCTTTTTCCTTTCAATAAAATGATAGGGCGTGACTCCATTAAACCAACAAATTTTACTTGTGTAATACCTAATAATAAATTATAACTTCTTATAAAATCTTCGTAAACAAAGTGTATATCTAGCAAGACAATTAGATGGCTTATAATATAATCATCTTTCTTATCTAACCAAAAGTAAACTATTAGATGTGTTTGGTTAGGAGACTGTTTTGAAACAGTTACTATATTAAAAGGTCTAGTTTGATATTTTAATAGAAACACTTATATGTTAGGAATTGCACATTTTTTAAAATAATTTTGTTTTACTTAATTTTCAAAAAGGCAATTATTTAATATTCTCTAATTAATATCCTTATAATTATAAATAAATTGTATATGCATACTTAAATATTCTACTTTCTAAAAAAATTTATGAAATATACTTTATCCAATAATTATAATAATACTTAATTACAATTTTTGTCTCATTAAAATTATGTATAATTTTAGTTTTTTAAGTTACTTAAGTCATTTTATTTTTAAAACTATACAAATTTAGTTCTCATACTGATTTTTTTAACTTAAGACTTTTATTTTTTTTATCCAAAATTTTAAGACTTTCTAATGAAATTAGAAATAAAATAATTTTAAAATTTTAAAATAAAAAATTATCAAAAACTTGATAAATTTAAAGGATTTTATAATATGTAAAATAATAATTTGAAGAGAAAATTTTTGAGGTATTTTAACTATGAATTAAATTTGATATATTGATTGATTAATGTTAAGTAAAAAATATTAAATCAATTTAATTTACTTAAAATTAAAAATATAAAAATTAAAAATCTTCAGTACAAAAGTGTTGAGGGTTGGATTTACTAAATTTTAAAAATAAAAACTAATTAACTTAAAAAAACTAAAATTACACGTAATTTAATATAAGCATATTCCCTTACGTCATTTTATACGTATATCATCTGATTAATACGTTACTTTCATTAAATATTTTCAATTCATTCAACTAATTTATCAATTTTTAATTCCTAAAATTTTAATTTACAATAACTTTTTAACTATCAACTCAAGTTTTGGTTGATGATACCAAATATAGCCAAAGTGTATATAATCATGTGAACCGAAAGATTCCTTTCTAAATTCTACGTTCCCATCCTTTCATGTTTCATTTTCACTTTAATGTGAATTTCATCCTCGTTACTATTAGACACTTGGTCGTAATTAATGTAATTATCTAAATTTAGATAGATTATGTTTGTACATGGGTTAGAATATCTTTTCCAATAATAATAATAATAATAATAATAATTTAGTAAAAATTATAATAGTTAATAATATTAATATTAAATTACATTAATTTTAAAATTTAGTAAATATATATTATACATATATTTTTATTATGTACTGTACAAATTAAAAAAATAATAACAAAGAAATTTTTAAGTTAGATCAAATTATTCAAAAGATCAAGTTGGATTATTAGTTGTACATATATTCATCATCTAAAATCTTGCATTTCTTCATATGCAAATTCAATCTAATTCACATGAAAAGTGTACGGTCTAATTCCGTTTTTGCAGCAAAAATGAAGATTTCTATTTCTCCTTCCTTATTCTCTTCTCTCCTAATTCCCTATCTCCTTCTTGCAATCCCCTCCTCCTATCTTAATCTCACGTTTCCTCTCTCTTTCTTTCAGTTTTTATTTTTATTTAAGCGAACTAAATTAAATTAAAAAAAAGTGAAATGAGACTATCCAATTTTTATGTGAACTAAAACAGATTTAGATCTCCTGTATCCACTAATTAAAAAAATCATTGTATTTCTTTAATACTAAATAAGAAATTAAGGGTAACTTTTTTTATATAAAAAAAGTGTCATCATCACCGCCTCCAACATAATTTTTATTGCAAAAAAAATGGTAATTTTCAATTTTTTATCTATTAATTTTTAATTAATATCATCTTTAAAAAACTTACTAGCAATATTTTCTTTATTTTATTTTTTAAATTAATTGATTAATTAAGTAGTATTCCATCTCTCTCATATTATATGTCTTTTAATTTTTTCATTTCTCTCAAAATATTTATTATTTTATAAAATGAAGAAAGTTTTATTATAGTTTATTATTATTTCTATTTATTGTTATCTCACCCAAATACCTAATTGAATTCATAATTCTAACTCGTTTAATTATTTATTTTTTGTTAAAAAATTATCACAATAATTTGTACAATTAATAATATTTTTAACTTATGTATTATCCTAAAAACTAAATAATATGAGACGAATGAAGCGCATATATGATTTTATTTGTAACCTAAATAAATGTTAGCAATATATATATTTTGCAAAAATGAAATAACTATTTTTATAAAATTACTTTGGTAAGAATATATCTCATTATTTCACTCTCTTTTTAAAAAAATGATTTCACCCTATAGAATCAAAGAAGATGAATAATATCAAATAATATATCGAATTATCAGAAAATCGAAAAGCCCTGAAAATATTCAAATTATGAGGTTATTATATATATTGCCCCACAAGCATATTGAAGGGCCACATATGATAGGATATAGTACCTGATGGAACAACACAATAAATCTACAATAAGAATATTTCTATTCGATGGGAAATTTATCCACTTCGATCTGTATGCATATATCAATCAATTAAGGAATATATCCATCGATCTTTTGAAATGATAAAGACTGCAACATACATTACATGCCATTTTGGTGCCACCTATAAAATTTGCAAATTTTATTCCAAAATTAATGGGTATGCATGGATGCTCATAGCCTACGTACCTCAAAACTTTCAATTATCCCACAATTTCGTTGTAGTTAAACCCTATTTTGTTTTCTCTTTCCTTTCATGATCAATACAATATTTCCCGCATAGGAATTGGCTATAGTACTAGCATGCAGTCCTAAGAAAACATTAAAAACTATTGACGCATTGTTTTTATTTGAGAACACTACTCTTACTGATTATAAAAAAGACACAAGGAATTCAGATTTAATCAATATGTTTCACTCCAAATCATTACATGCATGTTTCGTGTAGTTTATTTTAAAAATAAATTATTTAATTTTATCAAAAGATTTATATAATTTTTTTTAAATAAATAATTATTTTACAAAAAAAAATATGTTATTTATTAATAATATAATGTTATAGTCATTGTTAGTATACTTTTCATAACAAAAACTAAACTATTAATATAAACATTGTGAGATTATACTAATAATATGGTGTATTGTATCAATAAAATTATTTTTTAGAAACTATTAAAATAGACTACCAACAGAAAATATTAGAAATAATGTGTTGTTTATAAACATAAACTTAATTTTCTGGTTAACAAAACCAAGGTTTCTCTCAAAACTTGATAGTTTTTATTTGTTAATAAATGACTTTGTTTTAATATTTTTCTTTTAAAAAAGCTATTCGAAACAGATTATAAACATTTATTTCTCTTAAAGAAAAAGCTATTCCAAACATACTATAAATACAAATATAAGGGAAACAATGCACGAAAAAGTTATAGAAGTCAAGATTATATTGGAGCACTCTCAAGAGGTTATTTTCGGGTACAATGTATATTCCAAAAGCCGCCGGATCTCAACAAAAAAAAAGGGCTAGGTTATGATATATCACATTACATGCAGCTTCTCCTAAGGCTTTGTTTGGCAGTTTGCGTTGCACGTACTGGAATGTGAGGTCACATTATGTACGTACATGCATGAGGTTTCTAAAGCCATAGAGCACCAGCATCTCTGAGCATTTTCTTGAGTGAGCCATTGAGGTGAAGGGTCATGACTGTGTTGGCTGAACCCACAAACTTGCCACCAATGAACACTGCAGGAACAGAAGGGTTGCACCCTAATCTCAACAGAGCCCATTCTATTTCCTTCCCTCTTGAGTCTTCATCTAACTCATAGATTGCAGGGCCCACACCTTGCTCATAAAACAGCCTCTTAATTGCATGGCTCATCCCACATGAGCTCTTGCTGAAGATCACCACTGCCTTTTGCGTTGCCAATTTTGTTATGCGATCCATCTACGTATATATTAATAAATTTTTGTGTGCACTTTGGTTAAAGGTATATATGAATAATAAAGTATGATAAGGCTTTGGTGATTGTTTAGCTTCTAAAGTACTTAGTGAAATTATGAAAAATATTACGAGGGAAAATAGATGAAAAAAATGAGTGGAGTTTCAGAGCAAATTTCGGGAGTGGTTTTAACTTGTGGTGTCAGCGAAGGTTGAAGATACATGTGAGGAGTGAGGACATATATAGTGATGAAAGGGTCACGCAATGTTTTGTATCCTAAAGAAGGGAGCTAGCTAGGGATGAAAAGGTGAAGGTTCTTCCATGAGTTGATGCCCAAAATATCCTTGATTTGATAGGGACTTGTGTGGTGTGTTAGTTGCTATGCTAACATATATACTTAGCTACTTGTGTGACAAAGAATCTACTAGGCCATGAAGATAAGCCAAACACTGTCGGAAATGGGACCACGAGAATTAGAGGGGGAGCATGAGGTGGTTCATGTGGATCAAAATACTGTTGATTACGTGGGTTTGATCGTGCGTAAAGAATGTCAACTTAAGGAGAAATTCTAATTACTTTTACACTAAATATTTTGGATAGCAAAACTTCTAATGTAAGGGGTAAGGAGTATTTTTTTTTAAATGAAGTTTTAATTTTATGAAGCATTAAATGTTAAATGAAAATATATTAAAAATATTTTAATCCTAAAAATATTAATAATGTTATAAATTAATTACCCCTCAACTATTATTAATTGACACACAAAATACGAGCTTCAGTAAAAGTTATATTTTTCATAGCTTTGTGATGTTCAGAGTCAAACCTAATAATTATATTATTTTAAAATTTTATAGCATAATGCATAATAGTTCAATGACATCACTGTTTTATTTTAAAATAATTTGGGAATACGTTAAGAATCTCTTTAATGTTGGACAGGGGAATACACACCACGTGGGATGAGGATGGAGGTTGACACGTGGCAGATACGAAAATAATTGCATACATGGGGAGTATTTCTTATACCTAACAAAATGAGAAACACCATCAATTTAGGCAAAAGAATTAACATAGCAATTCAAAGGATTCCATTCTTTTTTGGGTGTGTGTGGATTGCCAATTTTGAAGAACAGAATAAATATCTAGAGAAATCGAAAAATTATGCACCAGTTACATCAAGTGTTAAGCTCTTGATATGGTATTGATGTTCATTGTTAGTTTGGATTAGTTCTAGAAAGGTTTTGTGTAGCATAGGTATATTTTTAAATTGAAGTAAAATTTCAAAATGAAAATATATAAGAGATAAATTTATTATTATTCTTATTATAATTACTCCTAAGTAGTGAAGAAAATATAATTAAAATGTTTTAATTATTATTAATAATTATTTTATTAAATAAAAATAAATTAAGGACCCGTGAAATTAAGATTTTGTTTAAAAGTTTATTTTAGGAGAAAGAGGAGATAATGGAAGTTTTATGTCTTGATTATTTTATTTGATCGATATTAGATGAGAGAAAGAGAATTTATAAATTATTCAATACTTTTTTAATATTATATTTTTAAGTTTTTTTAATTTTAAAAGTTTTGTATTTTTCTTATTTTTTCCTTATTTTTTAAATTATTTCTTTCTCTTCTTCTAAAATTTTAAATAAAGTCAAAGAAAATAAGATGAGAATAAATTATTTGAATTAAAACATCTTTTTTATACTTAATAATTTTAAAATTTTATTAAAATTTTAATTTAATTTAATTTAATAAAATTTAAGTAATAATATTTAAGAATGTAAAAAATCAATTTAAATAATTAAAAATAAATTAAATAAATTTCTAATCAAGAAAAAAATGAAAAAAAGAAGATTTAGTTTGATTGGTTATCTTTATATTTAAAATCAAATTAAACCCAACTGAAATATAAAAATAATAATTTTCAATTTTATGATTATATAAATAATATATTTTATTACATGTTTTTTGATTTTTTATTAATAATTTATAATTTAAATTGATTTATGATTTAAAACAAGATTTGATATTTTAAATTTGTTTTTTTGAATATTGATTGTGTATTGGACTTTTTTTTTTTTTTTTGTTATTAGAAGCGATATTAAAAGTCTAAAATAAACAAACAAACTAAGCTGTAGGCTTAAAAAATCAAATGCTATTAGCATCCATACTTAAGTAAAAGAATAAATTGGGAGATAGATAACAAAATAAGAGGAAGGAGATAAAAAAAATCAAAGCTTAATTTTGCAAGACAATCAGCACATTAGTTAATCTTTTTATAAATACAGACAAATCTAACAAAATTGATAGATTTTATAATCTCTCTAATTTTATAAATTAAAGGAAATAAAAGATAAGATATGTGTTTAACGTTCAATAAGGCTAGTTATTTCTTTAGAGTCGCATTTAATTCAAATAATCTTTTTCTTGTTTTTATCCACTAACAGCTTGAGCCCTTTACATAAAGGATAAGATGGATGCTGAATTTTTATTTATGAAATAATATTTCTTAAATAAAAAATTAGTTAGTAAACAAACTTATTTAATTTAATATTATATTTATACTATAATTTATAAAATTTTATCTATTATTAATCAAATTGAGTTCCTTATAAAAATATAAAAAATAAAAATTAATCTAATCTAAGTCACAAAATACTAATTTGAATTTGTTCAAAAATTTAATTTAATCTTAAATAATTCTATATTTATACTTTAATTAATAAAATTTTAATTATGTTAAATCCAACTGTAAATTTTATTTATAATTAATTTAAATAATTTTTCTCAACACTAATCCAAATTAAACTGCAAACAACTTTAATTGAGACAGTTTATAACTTTAAAAAATATTATAATAATTTTGTTAAATATTTATTTATAAACTATATTTTTAATGTAATTTATATATCTATAATCCTACCTAACAATAGAATTTTTAATTCTTTTAGTAATCGTAATTTTTATAATGAACATAATTATTTATTTATGTACGATAGAGTATAAGAATTATATTTAGTTGCTTTATGAAACACATTTAACTTTTTATAGAATTATTTAATTTTCTGATTTTATAAAACAATTTATCTGTTAACAATGTCATTCATAAATAAGTGGGTATTATCCTTTTGTCTAAGATATTTTTTTATATTACATTTATTAAAAATTAAAAATTAAATTTGAATATTTAAACAGTTACGTTTAGAGGAAATTTAAACTTAAAACCACAAATTAAATTAAAATAATTTTTTTAATAATTAGTTCACGTGTTTGATGAATGATGATATATCATATAAGGTATTTAACTTATTTATATTAAAATTTAAATATAACTATTTGTAATTTTAAAAACATCCCTTTTAACGCCACGTATCATCTAAATTTTCTAGCATGTAAACATTACATTATATATTGACTAATTTGCATTGAATTTTAATTATAGTGTTATAAAATTAAAATACCTAAAAGTATTTATATTTTAATTAAATTTTAAAACTTTCTTTGTTTTCCCATGTATTATTATCTAGAGTCACTGTAATTTAGTAAATATTACATTAGATATTATTTGATTAACCTAAATTCAATAAAGTAAGAATGTTGTGAAAGATAAATCTCTACCTCTAACGCTACTACTTTTTGAAATACTCAAACTTAGTTTTTTTTAATAAACATTGTACACAAGCTAAATTTATCACATTAAAAATGTTAAATTATTTTTATATGCATTTATCACGTTACTTATTTAATCATTTATTTTTCTCTAAAATGTATAAAATATATTTTTTGCTTATAAATATAACACTTATCGTGAAAAATGGTTTTCGTTAAAATAAAGTACGCAGCACTTGTTAACTTATAGTAGTAACCTTTTAGTATATATTAATAGAGATAGACACAAAGTTTATACATTATCTTGTGATAAAATCCGCCGCAAACAGATGATAGTAACTGCTATTCATATCTAAACACTGTGAACATGTTTAAAAGGAATTCCCTCGATGCTATCAAGTTTTTGAAGTATTAGTTACGCTTTTATATGTTCTGATTCCATTTTAAAGATTACACAATACATTTCTATTGGTCAAAGGCTTACAATCAGATCGACAAATCCTGTTTTATCAACAAGTTCGCATTCAGAAGTTAGAATGACAAGCAATATCTATTGTTTATATCATTCTGCTGTTGCACGATGATGGTAGGATTCTATATGTTCAAATAAAGTTCATTTCGTTTCTTAATTTTTTGTCTTGTTAATTTTTTTATTTTATTTTCTTAATTTATAAAAATAATTTTATTCGCCAAGAACTGTTTTCAAAATTCCTTTGCTTAAGACTAGTGAAATGATAATGGTGAGTTTGTATTTGTTACTGTCGATTTATAATGAAATTATATTTGTTAAGTAATACGTGGGTCTTTTATAAGTTTGTTTGTATGATTTGTTATTTAATGAAAGACATACAATGCAAATTGTTATATTTTATGAATTCTAAATGTTATAATTTGAATTCTAAATTTAAGTGAAATGTTATTTTTCTGTTTGAAATCAAAATAATGATTAAAGAAATTATTATTTTAAATATTAAATTATCTAAGTTAGATAGTTTATGAACAAAGTGTTTTATTAATTAGTTAACAAATACTTGTTAAAATGTTATATGTTATAATTGACAAAATTTATGTTGGTACATTTTTCATTGTCTCTTGGTACATACTTTATTAAGGTAAATGATATCATATTCAAGTTGTATAATAGAAGACTAATGTGAGATACTGTCAAAATTTTACAAAGTATAAAATATAAAGTTTAAGCAATAAATGGTAATTAATACATGAAAAATTTTATTCTCAAATGGGATAGAGCTTTACTGCGTGAGACAAAATAAGACATTAATTCATGTAATTGTCGTAAGCGTAGTTGGAGTCAATATGGATCAAAATTAGATGATAGCTGATCATCTGACAATATTTTTGTGATTGAGCATGTTACTTATATCAACCT